TTAAGAATTAATATAGGGAAGGGCGAGGATGGATGCAGGAGCTTAAGAAATTGCTTACAGTCTGAATACACATGAGCAATGAGTGTGACATGGAAGATGGAGAGGTAAGTGCAGCTGCAGCAGGTGGAAAAAATGCTGCTTTAGGGGGCTGGCAGTGGGACAGGAGGTTTCCAGGTGGAGAAGCAGACCTGGTAAAAGTGTGTCAGAACATGGGGGAAGAAGGGAAGCATAGGGGGGCACCAGGGCTTTATCAACCCATTTGATTTTTTGTTGTTGTTGTTGGCAAAGACAGTTTTGTAATGAGGGTGGAAGGGTGCTTTAATGTTCCCTATTAGTCACCAGCAAGCTCTTGACTTTTTGGCTCAGCATCTTCGGTAAAAGCATTTAAAATCAAAACTCTGGTCTCATTTCAGTGTGGTTTGCAGTGGAATTTGCTAAAACCTAGGGAAAAAAAAAAGGCTCTGACAGCTTTCTTTGCTCTACATTTGATTGATTTGTTCCCTCACTTGCATAGCCTGTTTAATATCTCAGATACTCATTTCTTTTCTGTATGTTGACACGCGCTCTACGGTACATATTCTGGTACTCGGCTATTACACACATGATAAATGAACACCGTAATGTCAGGAATAGTGAAAATCATTGCTGTGAATATACAAAGGAGTAACAGACCTGTAACCTCTCTAGAGGAGAAGCACCACAATAATGACAGGAATCAAAACCTTCACAATTTGGTGTTACCTTGTGCAGTTTGCATTCAGAATGATAATTCAGGCTAATGGCTTCAGGCTCCCACGGGGCAGCTAAAACAGATTCTGAAAAGGCAGAAGAAAAGGGTGTAGTAAATAAACTCAACGAGCTGTCAAAGAATATTTCTACATCAAACAAGTCTCTGAACCTTTTTGTGCTTCGTAATCTGACCTTTCCTGGCTGCTCATTTTTTTTCTCCTGACTGAAGCAGATCACGAAACATGACATGGTAGGTACAAAGTCAGTAAGTAAATAAAAACATTTATAGAGCCATTAAAGCAGAAAATGTTAGAAGATCGTGGGGAGGTTTCTATGAATTTACAGTTGAATGGAAACCCCCTCCTTGCTCCCAGTTGCCAAGCAACACATCTTGGGATGCACGCTCACTGAGCAACGAGGATGTTTGAAACAATTTGGGTCTTGCATCCTCCAGGAACGAGTAGTATGAATTAGGTTCCACAAAGTATGGCACCTCAGAGAAAATAAGCTTGTATTGGCTTAATGTACATTTCCACCTGTTGATCACAAAGTCACTTGTATAGAAAAAATACGTTTTTTCCCATTCTGCAGGTGCAGAAACTTCTCTATGAAACGCTACTGTAGCTTTTTGCCAGGCTGAAAGCAGGGCCCAGGTCTTCCTGGTCCCATGTTTCAGCTATCTGGTAGCATCTGCAAAGCCTCAGTCCTCGGGGTACTTCAGCCCAAGCAGCTAGGTAGGATCATTGTGTGGCTTTGGTCTTACAGAAAACATCATTACTGTTCAGAGGACTGTATTAGTGCTTAGAAAATAACCAGAGTGCACAGAGAAATATGACTTATGCTTGTGTAACATGTTTTTGTCATTTTTACTGAGCTCCCACATTGTGTATGCTTAAGTTGTTTACTTTTACAGTTAAAAATTAAATACATTTAATTCCCGAGAAAGACCAAGAGAGCAGTCTTTCTGGGTTAGTCACTTGAAGATTCACATTCAGTGTGTTAAAATGAGGTGCGTTCCTTCCAGGAGACCTCAGCTGCAGAAGGCCAAATGTATGCAAAAGCACTTGTTTCAGAAGGTCACTATTGCTGGGGGTGGTGAAAAGAGCACCACATTTTTGCTCATTTGTAGGTTTTTGAAAAGTTAGGAGTAATAATGCAAGCTGTAAACACAAAATGGCTTTGCCTGCAAATTCAAGTGTTTCAAAGTGGAAATTTTCTCTGATGATGGATATTTTTAAAGCTTATGCAGCTCAAGAGGAATGGGTTTGACCTCTTAAATAAGTTTATGCAATAATACCATCTGTATACTGTGAAGAAAAGTGTGTGTTCTATGAAGAAATGAGTTTACAGTATAGCTGCAGTTATCCAAACAAAAAATGTAGTTTTCTAAGGACCCACGTAAGGGCCAATGCTCTATGATTATTAACTTGTCCATCAAGTCACACTTATACAGTCATAAAAACTAACTGTGCAGATGTTTTTATAAACATCAAATACGAAAAATACTTACTAAGTGGGCATTGAATTTGATTTCTTCTAATAGTAATCCTGACCTTGTTTTTTTTGTCCTGTAGAATAGTTCTACTTTCCCTTGTGTTGCGTAATATTTATCTTTTCTTTGTTCTCAGTTAAGCAGTTTGGCAGGTGTGGTTAAAGTGTTGTACTAATCAGGAATGAGAATTAGGTAATGTTCTCTGTAGCGAAAATTAAAAACAAACAAAAACAAAACAACAACAACAACAAAAAAAACACATTTCTGAACTATCATTTCTTCAAATTGGAATTGAATATATTTCAACTATAAAGCTGAAGGGAATAACTGCATTATGTCTGTGAGGAGCTTTCAGAACTCATTTTCTGTCATCCCAACTATTAAAACCCTATGAAAAGAACAGGCCCTCATGGTGCCATCATGAAAGCTAGCAGCTCTGAAGCATGCTTTAATGTTATGTTGATGTGATATAAAAGAAATACTTGTACTTCAGTTGCATGGTAAGGATGGCAATACCTTTCTTTTCAGTTTAATGAAGAAGTGCAATACTTTGTCTCCAGGTATATAGTCTTCCTTCCTTTGTACATGTACTTTACAGTAACAGGTGTTACACGTGTAGATTATGGCCAGGATATGCTGGAAAGACATTCAGTGATTTGTAAAGTGAATTCCTTCTTAGTGTTTCGAGTATGTTGAACAGTACAGATGACTTCAACCATCAGTCGTGAATATAATGTGCACAGTTGGTGTGGTTGACACCATTTAAAAGATAGAAGGGAAACACAATTTGAAGTGAAACCATTTTCATTTTTTTGAGCGGAAAAAATATCCCTTTATCCAGCCTATAGTTTGGTCGGATTGGCTTTCTCACAGAAACATCTGTGTGAGAGGCTGCCATTCCCCCACTAAGCCAGGTGCTTGTTAGCAGGGCAGAAAAGTGAAAACTATAGGAACAAGTAATTAGAAATAGTTGTATCCTGTCTTGGATCACCTGCCAGGTGGGTGTTTGCTGGCCATAGCCAAAGGGGGAGAGCCGAACACTTCACACCTCGGCTTGGTGTTTTCTGCTGTCCTAGCAGGCTGCTGTGTTTGGGCTTCCCATTGACTTCTTCCAGACTCTGCACAAAAATGCCTAAGTCTGGAGAGCTGGAAACTAAGGCTGTCCTTGTGATTTTGGAAGCTACAACATATTACGTCATGTGGATTAGTTTCCGCATGTAACTAATAATAAAGGTGAATTGATATAACAGATGCAGATAGCCTCAGTGCTGTAAGTTTGTGTGTTAGCTCTCAGAAATCCATTTTGAATCTTTTTTTTTTTTTTTGGAATAAACTGCAGCCAGATTTCTTCACCCAAAGTGTTTTGCCCTGTGAGACGACCAGAATCTTTTCATGAACTTTGTGGATAGAATTCATTTTAATTTCTCTTCTGTAGACCAACATAAAATTCAGCATCTTTCTTGCTTCTCTAGCTTTAGTCTACAAACTAGGCAATATCACTGGCAGAGAAGCAATGATGCCCTTCATGCAGAGACCTGTAATGTGCAGTCGTTATTCTTAGTAGTGGGTAGAGACAGCTAGTTGTGTCGCTCCCTCTTCTTCCTAATTTTTGTGCTACAATTTTTAGAAAGCTGGTGGACTCCTGAAATGGGGGTGATTTTGGTAATGGGTCATAATGGCTGATGCTGTTCCCAATGCTTTCTCCTTTTAGCATTAGAGACAAAACCATTTTTTTGTTCAAGAAAAGTTGTTAACTTTATGTTTTGCTTACATTTTGAAGATGTACTAAATATAAAACATACTTGATTTGCCACCTGTTATCTATTGTTTGTCAGAGGGAATGACGAATATACTTGTCTGAGAAATGCTGAAGTAAGGATTCACTGCATCCAGTGCCTAAATTGCTTTTGTGTACTACAGTGGATAAAAATCTAGAAAAAGAATTGAGTATTGATTTTCCTAATCTTTTTTTTTTTTTTTTTTTTGCGTGTGTTTCTACAAACAACGCATATATGTGTAATACCCATACTAAAAAAGCTTCTTTACCTTATAAACTTTCTTAGATATTTGAATTAATATATGCGCAAGATATATGATCTCCCTCGTCTCATTTTCAAATATTTTGCATTAAATCCTCATTTAATTTGATATAGAAAACTATATAGCATTCCTTTGTAGCTATTAGAATTTTTGTTACCATCACTAGACTCTGAAATTGCATCCTAGGTTTGTAGAGCCTGTTACTTAAGTAATATTCCTATGGCTTAAGGACTGAATCTCAGCTTCTGCTTTCATTTATATTTGATTTGTTTTCTTCATGCTGAGTCTGGAGTGGTGTATGCTTCTGTAAATGATTTGGTTTTGCTAATGCAGAGATTTATGGATAACTTATTTACCCTCAGTAAAACACCAGAAATTAATATAAAATGGCTGTTTTACCTGTTCTTAAAATAACTATTTTCTAAATATGTGGGAAGTAACTAAACAAAAAGCATCTGTTTTGGTCAACAGCTAATGTATTTCTACGTTCCCATAACATAGACTTACTATAACCTGAATTGCGGTTATTCATAATCTTGCCTTTTGGGGAAATTCATTTAAAAAACTTTTCTTCCTTTTATTATTATTATGATGAGATCTAACAGCTGCAGTCAGGTTAGGCACTTTGCTGTGCTTAACTGCATGATGGCTGATGGGGGCAATTTAGGCTTTAAAACAATTTTCAAGAGTACTGCTAGGGCTGCTTGTGTTTGATCTGGAGCTTAACAAAAGCTGGTGGCAGGGCTGCCAAATGAAGCCACTGTGCTGAGAACAGTAAGGCAGCAGGTCTTTACAGAGGTAAGCTGGAGTGGGTTAGTGTGGGGAAAGATGGGAAGAAAAAGGCTGCAAAAAAGGGTCTGCTCTCTGAAAATCCTTTAATGAAGGTCTGAAGCTGAGAGCAAGTGTCAGCTTTGAGGAAGTTTGGATGTGCCTTTAAATTTTACAGCTGAAGTTTAGCTACGATTCTTTAAAACACCTCCTGATTGTACTAAACTAGAGAAAAAGCAAGATACCAGCAGCTGGGTACGATTAACATACATTTACGCCACTAATTTAGCACTATGCAAATCGTATTCCTTGCCAGCGAGCTCATTGAGCAGCACATGCTAGGTGTCTCTTGGCAGAGCACAAGTCCTCTTTCTGTAATTGTTTCATGCTCTTCACGTGCAGAAATTTAATTTGCTCTGTCTCGTCACACTTTCTGCCATGCTTCTTTTAATCTTGTAGTTGCTTGGAAGGAAGACTTCTAAATGAGAAATGCAAAACCAACTGGTGATTATTTGAAGAAAAAGACTTTGAAAGGTCTGGATTTATTGCCTCCCCCCAAAGGCTCATGGACTTTGATTTTGGGCCAGGCTTTAAAAAGATGTTTTTTTGTTTGTTTACAGTGAGCAGGGGTTATTCTGATCTCGTACGGGTGTACATCAAGCACATCTTTGAAGTCTGTCGAGGGTGCAAACCTGTGCAGCTCGGATGAGGCTCCAGGTTGCATCGCTCCTGCAAGCATTGGGTGAGAACCTGCTGCTCATGCTGGGGGTCCTGAGGCTGATACCATGTCCTGCTCACATGCTTCCCTGCTCCTGTGGTGCCTTTCCCATCGTGGCCCATGTTTATGGACACCTGTGCTTGCTGAGCCACTGGAAGGAGCTGTGGCAGAAGCACTGCAGACATTTTTCCTTCCCTTCCATTTGAAATGGACAAAAAACACGATAATGACCTTATTGGAGTGGCCAGGTGCAAATTGTTGCCATCAGGGCTCCCATCACAGCCCTGGTGAAATGAAATAACAGTCCCTTCAGTTTAATAGCAAAAAGCTGGAGGAGGGCAAATAGCCCCTTGCTGATCTCAGCTGTGATCTGCGTGCCCTCTGGGATGCTGGGGCAGGAGGCAGTCTTTTTCTGTGAAGACCCTGGCTGTGGCTCTCTCTCTGTCCTCCATGCTTTTCTGGGTCATAATTGAAGACCCCAGTGGTTGCAGGAGGCTGGTGTGTTGGTGCAGCAGGCTTTCTCAGGGATGATTTTGCTCTTGGGTTGCTTTGGGTGAGCTCTCTTGTTCCTGCTGTTAACAGCAGGGGGTACCCCAACGGGGCCTTTCTGCTTCTCCTGGTGGGGAGAGTGGGTTTCCACCCCAAGAGGCAGTGTGGTGGTAGTGGTATGCTTTGTAATGTGATCAGCTGCTATAGAGGGGACTGTGTGACTATCAGGAGAACTGGCTTTGGTTTGGAGTAACGTCTTTATAGGTTGTATGTAGCTGTAATAAACTGTGCAATGTATCTTCAGCTGTGGCAGGACTTCTAGTACCATAACAGGTTATGTACTGTAATGGGGAAAAGACACTGCTAAAAAGCATTTCTGCTTTTTAAACACTTTTAGTTATACCCCAGCTTGAGTAACTTCTGGACACTTCTGAATATGCTATATAGGAACTGCCCCTCCAATGCATACATGAGCATGGTGCTAGTTGTTTTTTTTTTGTTTTGTTTTGTTTTTTCTTTTTCTTATCCTTTCCTGCTTTCAAGGGGTTGTTAGGAGGCATACGTTATCCCATGGCATTGCAGTTAGGGTTCTGCATGTTTGCCCGGTGGAAGCAACTTCATTTTTTCAACCAGGTTTCATGTGATTAGCTCAGATTCCTTGGCCTGAGATTCTTAGCCTTGTGCTTTCTGTGTTAATGACGTTAATCCCCTCTACTGTCAATGGTGGTATTTCTGCTCATGTGTGAGGCAATCACCTGCGAAGTCAGTGGGACCAAGCATGTCGCATGAGCTGGGCATTGTGGTGGGTGTGCAGGCAGCACCAGGTTAAGTTAAGCACTCTGGCACCCGGTGAGATGACAGGCAGTGTAAAAACGTGTAAAAATGCAAAATACTGTAATTACTTGAGCAGCATCATTGCCAAAAGCCTCTCATTGTTCTAGTATGCAGGAACATGTGCCGCTCTCTTAATTTAAAAAGTAATTCAGATAGCTTAATGAAGGCTTATTGGCTCAGGGAGTGCTTTAGCTAAGAGGGATGTCAGAAGCACCTTTTGTGGGCTCTTCTAAGAAAAAAAAAACAGGAATCTGAGATTTCTTGAAGTTTGGGGAAGCACCATCCAGCAATAGCCATGTGATATGGCCTTGCAAATATTTTTCTCCTCCATTTACTGAGAACACTTTGCTAAATCCAGCTTTGTGCTGCACTGTGTGTTCATTACAAAGAAATCTTTATCTTGAAATTCTTAAATGTTTTTAAAGATTGTTGCTTTTGCCAGAGTTTACAAACCATAAACACATTAAAAAAGTGAAGCAGGAGTGAGTTTTGCATCATAAAGTCAACAGGAAGTATGACAAATCATGAGGCTAGCTTAAGAAATAGATTTCACTACCTTCTGCCCCAGATTTGGGTTAACAAAATTTTAGCTTTGACTTGTCTTGTAATTTCATACTGTTCTCAGCTGCTAATGCTTACAATCTCTGTTGTTCTGACTTGATTTATTTTACTTTCTAGGAGTTAAGGTTTTAGGAAAAATACCGGTCTTTGGGAAACTCTTAATAGAGTCTTAAATTGGTGTAGGGGGGCAGAATATTTTTAACTCCCCCTTACTTCTATATCATGAACTGCCTTGTGCTTCAAGCTGGAAAACCTGGTCCAAGGGCTCTGCCTACATCCAGCCCCCCTGTGCCCAGGAAGGGATGCTCGCTGGTGGCAAACCAGGATCCTGCAGTCCTTTGCATTCAGGGGCTGCAGCTCTTTGCTTGGTTTTGTGGGCAGCCCATAAGTCAGGTGAGGTGGGCATTTATTATCCTACCTATTATCCTGCCAGTCCATCAGTCATAGTTCAACTGAGGGTGATCACTTGTGATAATTTATTGGTAGCTTCAGTTTATAGAATAGTCTGTAGCCAAATTCTGGTCAGAATTGATGCACTATACAGAAATCTGGCCAAAGGCCTGGAAACAGCTGTGGAGGCAGAACCACCTTTAGGTGCCAAACTCAAATGTGAGAAAGATAAAATTATGTGGGCAAGGTGATAGGTGTGGACTGCTTTTTTCATTTGCAGCGTATCACGCTCCTACTTCTAGCTTCTGTTTGGCTGCAGTGAGACCGAAGGAGGACTCAAGATGGCAAACAGAGGGTAAAATGGCATTTTTTTTTTTTTATGTTATTTACACTCAACCAAGGTCAGTGGGCCAGAACAGCTGCTATTACTGTACCTTAGCTGGCATAGTTAAATGTTTTGCACAGGGCTCTCATAACATCTCTTTACTTGTTGCATTTAGTGGTAAAATAACCAAAATAAAAAACAAAGCCATTTGCACCAGTATTCATTGTACAAAAATTCATTGCTCAAAGAGCTGAGCATCAGTGAAAACTCACACTTTTAAAAAGCCTGACTACTCCAAATGAATTATCTTGCTGCCTAAAATGACACAAAGTTAGAATTTGTTTCTTGGTGGTATCTGCAGAGCTTGGAAAAATTCTGGCCAGGGTGGGAGGAGGCAGGCAGCTGCTTGTCTCTTGGGTTGCTCATTTAAAGTGTGTGTACTCAGAGACAGCCTAAGGCTGTTCAGGAGCAATGACCTCCTAACGTACACTATTACACATAGAGTGAAGGGAAGCTGGCATGTGTAGAAAAAAGTGCAGATTGTCTTTCTAGAAGTATATTCAACAAAATTGCTTCTCGTCTAAAAACCAGGAGATCTTAAGCAAAAAGCTATTTTTAAGAGAAAGCTGTCATTCAGATGTCCACTGAAGTGTCAGCAAATGCCAAAGTTAAGTTTACACATTGGATCTTGTTTCTGCCCCCTTGAGCTGTGTTTCTCAGAAGGCCTGCACCCAGGAATAAAGGATTCAGCGGTCACAGCCATGACATTATCTCAACTTCATCTGAATTGAGGCAGAGCCAACTAGCTTTTGAGACTGGATTATTTGCTCTACTTTTCCAATTCATACAAATGAAGCAGAGAGGCATCAGAGGTCATCAGCACTGATGAAAGCATCCCTGATCTTTTCACAACCCTTCCCAAAAGCTTTCTGTGTATGTTGACTGATGGGATGGCAACAGAGAATCCTGAGAGTAAGCATTTAGTAGGAGGAAGAACTAGGTTTTATCTCTGAACTTCCCGCTGAGGAGAGAATATATAATTTCTCAAGAGCTAACTGTGTGTATTCTTTTGAAGTCTGGACATGAAAACATGATTACAGAAATGCGAAGGGCAGGGTGGGCAGTGTTGAGTAGCAAACTAAAATCAATTGAATTTATATACAGATATTTAATTTTGGACCTCTTTTCCGGTTTATTAATACCAATTTATTAAAAAAATGCAGTTGTTAAACGTGGTTCAATCATGAGTATATACTTGTATATATGCACACATTTATATATTTAAAATACTTATATTTGAATTGTATACAACTGCATTATGGGTTTCTCATTCTTGGAAATATTTAAAGTCTATATGGCCATGAGCCTGAGCAGCATGTCTAACTTCTGAGTTGCATCCAACTTTGTAGAAGGTCATACTTTGAACAGGGTGATTGACCAGACAATCTGTATAGATCTCTTCCAACCTAAGCTATTTTACAATTCTGTATGTGACCTGTGTATAGGTGTAAAATGTTAAGGTGATGGATCGCATATTCAGCAGAGTCCTTCGGCATGCCACAGTGTAATTAAACATTTGCTGGCACTTTCAGAGAAGCAGTTTTAAATATCTAGTGTTTCCCTGAGGTAGCCATGGAGTTTAAGTCTTCAAATAAGAAAGTTAAGTGAAAGTAACAGGAGCCAGGCTGAACGCAAATAAGAAGAGGTGTTTTTTCATGCAGCAAGGATGGGCACTACTTGCTAAGGGACCCCACAGTGCTGTCAGCTTACATGGGTTCAGCAGGAAGCTGAACAAGTGGAGCACCTGGAAGAGAAATCCATGGCTGCTTTTTATGCAAGCAGACCATATCCAGACCAGAATGTGCCTGGACAGACATGAAGTTGGGACAGCGCTTATAGGAAACGCAAGTGCAAGTGCAGGGTCTTAACCTTTACTCAGTGCAAGCTTATGACTCCTTTTGGAGGCCAGGTCTTCAGCTTGACCAGGACAGCTCTGTGCTTTTCAGCATGACTGGGCTAATAAAGTGCAGTTGTGAGAAGAGTCTGGGGAGTGGTGGAGGCTTCACTGTTTTTTGTGCCTCTTCCATACTCCCCACCACCTCTGGGCACTGGAGCTGGGCAGGCACAATGCCATCCCTCCCTTTATTTGTCACCCTCCTCCCAGTGCCTTTCTTGGACACCCTGACACTCCAAATGCAGTGGGTGTGGAGTGGCAGCAGCTTTTCAGTCAGCATTGAGGCCCACATGATGTTAACACACTATACTGCATGCTGATTGTGGAAGGACTTGTCACGGGGGACCACTCTGGCTCAAGAGACCTTTAGTTAGCCATTGGTTTTTACTTTTCTCACGGAAACTGGTATTTACGCAGCCTTTCTGCTGCAAGATTTCCGTGGAAGAGAAAGCAACGGAGCCTTTATTCCATTTCTGCAGATCCTCATCTGATTTAAGATGGCAAATGTTAATATTACTGGAATATCTGCTTGCTGACAATAGCAACATCACGAAATCTAGCAACAGAACTGGTAATGTTTCAAGGGAGGTTCTCTGTGTTTGGTCTTTTCCAGAATATCTTATTAGTGACTTCTAACAGAAGTATGTGCTGGAGGTACTATGGAAATCCCAATTTACTCATAAAAATTTTAACCTTTGATAATTGATGCCAGTAATTTATTTTTCTATTTTGCACTGAGATTAGCACTTGCAGAAGGAGAGTTAAAGTTCATAATTTACACGTGCCAGAGGCACCAGTGGGTTATGATGACAAGCC